ACAGAAGAAACAACCACCCAACATGGAAAAGGAGTTCCCGCAGGACACCAACATCAGGAGCACTGATGCCGTCTAGAACAGCCTCTCAGGGGAAATCAGAGCTTCTAAGCTACAAAAGCTTCAGAAGAACTCCAGAGAAAAAAAGATGCAACTTGAATTTAAAACAAAAAGGCTTCAGCTTAGCCAAGAAACTGAAGAGCGCACAGCCTACACGTACAGAAAGGCTGTATGGGAAGGAGCGTTGCCTGATCTCACTCCTATGGATGCAGGAGGTACCTTAGCTACTTAACTCTGCTTGCCCAAGCACCAAGGAGGGGGGAAAAGAGATGGAAAAGACAATGCTGCTGTCACACTGGGGGAATTCTGCACCTCCAAGCAAGTATCATTTACTCACTGCTGGATTTTTTTCCTTCTTTTCCCCTCTTTTCTGAAACCAACAGATTTTGCTAGTTGCATTTCTTGCCAAACTGAACAAAGCAGCATGCAGGTTTAGGTCAAACATCATTTTATTCTACTAATCAATATGCAGAGAGAAAAGCAGCTAGAATTAAAAACCAAACTGTATTTCTTCCATTCCTTACTTACTTTCCGGTGAAGTCCCTCCACCTCACTCTCAAACTGTTCCTTTTCCTGTTTGGTTTGGATCTGTGTCTCTCCCAGAATTGATTCCAGCTCTTCATTGCGCTCAACCAAGTCCTCGTGCTCCTGCTCCAGTTTTTGCAGCTTGTGAAGGAGCTGGGAATTCCTGCCCTCGATGTTTTCAATCACCTCTCGGCACCTACACACCAAAGACCAGCATCACCGGGACTAGAAGTGCCATGTAAATGCATAGACACACATCCAAACTGCTCACCACTGGCAAGGAAAAGCCAATGGGTTTTTCACAATGGAATATTTCTGTCCTGCTAAATTGACTCTCACATCCAGTATGACCTGTGCCTGCTCTTATTTAGGTGGTGATGCACAGGAACTAGCAGTGATGGGCTCTACATAAGTAATGATGAAGGTCAGGGGAGAAAACTGGTTAGGCACAAGGATGCTAACAACAGACAGGTGACACGAAATTCAGCTGCTTGAGGTGGGGAACAGGCT